ATATCGCGTCGAATGAACCACGAGCTTTACAATTTATACGCGGACATCGACATAGTCAGTCGTATTGAGCTGCAGCGACTACGATGGCTAGGCCATGTTGTGCGGATGAATGAAGATGCCCCAGCTCAAAAGGCATATAAAAATGAGCCTACTGATGGTTCCCGTAGAAGGGGAAGGCCACGAATTAGATGGAAAGACCAAGTAGAAAATAACATCTTAGAACGTGGTCTTCCAAATTGGTGGACTTGCGCACAAGACCGAAGCGCTTGAAAATCTTTTTTAAGCTCGGCTTATGGAACAACCGTTCTGTAACAAGCCAGCTAAGTAAAGTAAGTAATAGGCATGGATTTTTTGAAGAATATTTTTTTCAAACACCAAAATATCAATATGCGTGCATTTTTTGAAGAACGTTTTTTCAAGGCCCAACAGAGGCGTCGAATTTTATAAAGAACATTTTTTCAAAGCCCAATAAGGCGTGGATTTTTTAAAGAAAAATTTTCAAGGGACAAAGGAGGCGGGGAATTTTTTTAAAGAACTTTTTTCAAGGACCAACAGATGCCTGGATTTTTTAATGAAAAATTTTAAAGAACCAACAGAGGCCTGCATTTTTTAAAGAACTTTTTTCAAGGACCAACAGAGGCCTGGATTTTTTAAAGAACTTTTTTTTAAGGACTCAAGTGCCAAATTGGTGGCGTAGGGGATGATAGATACCAAGCAACGGCTCTAACATGGCGAAGTCCAGGCTTATCTTGGCCCCTCTTTCATCTCAATTGTGGACACTGACCTTCTCGCGGTTCCACCTGGGGAGCTATTTTCATCACCCGATGAAATAGTGAGCTAATATGTGCCGCGAGTTCACCCAATAAAAACTATAAAAATGGGTAGAGGCGTCGGGTTGACGCATTTTTGCTATGAAAAAGCAAAGAAAACCAAGCCCCATATGTTGACAACTTCCGCAAACGTATAAAGGACCACGAACTACGAATCTGCACTTGGAATGTGCGCACGTTGTACAGAACAGGCGCAGTGTTCCCTTTGTACAAAGCCGATATTATTGGCTTACAGGAAATACGATGGAAAGGGACTGGTGTAAGTAAATCAGATGATTACGCCCTGTATTATAGCTGCCATGAAACGAGACACGAATTTGGCTGCGGATTTATGGTTAACAGGAGAATAAAAGAGCCTCCATGATGAAACATCAGACAACGGCATGAGATTGATTGACTTCGCGGCAGCAGAAAATATGGTAATTAGCAGCACCAGATCCAAGCATCTCGATATACACAAGACCACTTGGATTTCTCCCGATCGAACAACGAGAAATCAAATCGATCATGTTGTGATAGACGGAAGGCATTCATCCAGTGTTTTAGACGTCCGATCGACCCGGGGAGTGAATATCGATTCGGGCCATTACCTCGTGGCAGCCAATGTACGCACCCGTCTTAATGTAGCAGCAAAGGTGCGATCCAATGTAACACGGAAATTTGACGTCGGAAAACTGCAAACACACCAGATAGCAGAAGCCTACACCGCCCAACTTACCCACCTGCTTGACGAAAGCACTTCTTGTCCGGATAATAGTATAGAAACACAATGGCAAATCATTGCCCACTCCCTACAAACTGCAGCAAAAGCAACACTTGGGTACCAAAAACCACCATCAGGAAACCCATGGTACGATCAGGAGTGTAGTAATGCTACTGATGTGAAAAAAGCAGCATATAGGGCAACCCTGCAGACAGTAGCAACACGTAATGTGATGGAGAATTATCGGGAGAAAAGGAGAGAGGAGAAAAAGGAAGAAAGAACAAGAAAACGTGAACGTGAGCAAATCGAGATATACAGGAGTCAGAATAAAGTCCGAAAATTTTACCAACGAGTAAAAGCCCAAACCGAAGGCTTTGGTGCAGGCACATCCTCCTGAAGATATGAAGAAGGAAACCTGGTGACAGACACAGACAGCGTGCTGAGGATCTGGAAGAAGCATTGTAAAAAACTTCTGGTATCAAATAGTGGCGGTGAAGAAGAAACCCAGAACCAATAAGAGATGATGGTATAGAGTGTATACCACCTAGATGAGGCCAGAATAGCAATTAATCAGCTTAAAAACAATAAAGCAGCAGGAGCCGATGGGTTACCGGCTGAACTATTCAAGACTGGTGATCAGATGCTGGTAAGGAGCATGATCCAGCTGATTAGTACAATTTGGCTAGAGGAATGCATGCCCGATGATTGGAACACAGGATGCTGAGCCTGTGTCCCGTGCACAAAAAAGGAGACAAGACGATATGTGCTAAATATAGAGGAATCAGTCTCCTTCCCATCGCATATAATGTGCTATCCAGCGTACTGTGTGAACGACTGAAGCCAATGGTCAATGACAATGGACCATACAAATGCGGCTTCCCACCTGGCAAGTCCACCATTGACCAGATTTACATTCTTCGCCAAATCCGGAACCCACGAAAAACACATGGACACATACCACCTATTCGTCGACTATAAAGACGCATTCGACAGCTCTATCCGTTGAGAGGTGTTTAAAGCCATGTATACGTTCGGCATTCCTGCAAAATTAATACGGCTATGCAGGATAACATTAAATGACACAAGGTCAGCAGTTAAAGTAGGAAAGGACCTATCGGAGCCCTTCAATACCGAATGAGGATTCAGACAAGGTGATAGTTTGTCGTGTGACCTTTTTAATATCCTGCTGGAAAAGGTCATAGGCGAGGCAAAGGTGAATAGAAATTGCACTCTGTACACCAAACAACACATGTTACTCGCCTACGCCGATGACATGGACATGTGAGCGGTAACAGCCACCTTTGAACAAATTGAGAAGGAGTCTGCCAAAGTGGGTCTGGCAGCAAACGGCGAGAATACCAAGCTGATGGTATCAATGCGCAAGATGTCCAGTAGACTCGAACCAACTGTGAAACTTGAGAACTACAGCTTCAAGGTAGTCAAAGATTTTATATCCCTTGCTACCGCCATAAATAAAACTAATGACATCAGTTTTGAAATTCGGAAAAGGATAGTGTTGGCCAACAGATGCTACTATGGCCTGAGTAACCACCTCAAAAGCAAGGCCACCTCCCGCCAGACCAAACTCACACTCTACAAGACGCTGGTACTACCTGTGCTGTTATATGGATCTGAAGCATGGGTACTTACGCTAGCAGATGAGCCAGCTCTTGGAGTGTTTGAGAGAAAAATTATCCGAAAGATCTATGTGCCAATCTGCGTAGACGTATTGAGCTGCAGCGACTACGATGGCTAAGTCATGTGAGAATGGATTAAGATGCCCCAGCTCAAAAACCATATAAAAGCGAACCAGCTGATGGTTCACGCAGAAGGGATAGGCCACGAATAAGATGGAAAGATCAAGTGGAAGACAACATTGCCGAATATGATCTTTCAAAATGGAAAAACTGCGCAAAAGACCGATGCGCCTGGAAATCTTTTTTAAGCTTGGCTTATGGAACGAAAGTTCTGTCACAAGCCAGCTAAGTGGATTTTTAAAAAAATATTTTTTCAAAGACAAGAGAAAGGCTTGGATAAAATAGCTTTAAGGACTAGAAATAAGGGTGGATTTTCTAAAAATATTTTTAAGGACTATAAAGAGGAGAGGTTTAAAGAAAAAATATTTTTACCTGGACCAAACATAGTCGTGGATTTTTAAAAAATATTTTTTTCAGGACCAAAAAAATAAGTTTTTAAGTGCCTGAATAGGTGTTTTTATACCCTTCACCGTGGTTCCTTTTGAGAATATGCCGTCCGTCTGTCCATGTTAAATTGTTAACAAAGTACAGGTCGCATTTATGATCCGAATTGGATGAAATTTGGCACAGCTCATTTGTTTGGCCCAAGGACGAACCCTATTGAAATTGGGAAAAATATATATTTTCGTCCGATTTAATGTAAATAGTGTACAAAAGTCCCTATATATCTTTCGATTTGCACGAAATTTGGCACAGCGTAATGAATAAGGTCTAGAATGATGTGTGCAAAGTTTCGTGAAAATCGGTTCAGATTTAGATATAGCTCCCGTATATATCTTCGTCCGATTTAAGGTAAATTGTGTACCAAAGTTCGAATATATTTTTCGATTTGTACGAAATTTGGCATAGCGTACTGAATGTGTGCCAAGTTTCATGAAAATCGGTTCAGATTTAAATATAGCTCCCATATATGGTTTCGCCCGATTTTAGATAACTGGTGCACTAAAGTCCGTGGAAATCTTTGCATTTGCACGAATTTTGGCATAGCGTACTAAATTAAGTCTAGAATGATGTGTGCAAAGTTTCGTGAAAATCGGTTCGGATTTAGATATAGCTCCCATATATATTTTCATCCGATTTTAGGTAATTGGTACATCAAAGTCTCTGAAAATCATTCGATTTACACGAAATTTGTAATGGCGTACTGAATTAAGGCTAGAATGACGCGTGCTAAGTTTCGTGAAAATCGGTCCAGATTTAGATATAGCTCCCATATATATTTTCGTCCGATTTTATGAAATTGGTGCACCAAAGTCCCAATATATCTTTCGATTTGTACGAATTTTGGTACTGAATTAAGTCTAGATTGATGTTGCTAAGCTTCCTGAAAAGATCCATAGCTAGGCCGATTGACACAACGTACTGAAGTAATATAAATTAGTCTCTGGCAAGTTTCCCTGAAATCGGTTCAAATATAGATATATAACATAAACGCGTCGTCTGTTAGGATCATCCAGCCAACAAGACAGACATTTCTAAATAGTCCCGATTTTTTTTTATCGATGTGTATATACCTATCATTAGCCTTAAGACAAACTAGCGGCACATTTTACGCAGACGTATTGTTTATTGCTGTCATAATTATACGATTTTATTTCTATATATATATGGGTGTATGTTAATAATATACAAATGCGGGATATACTATTGCCAAGTCCTCTACATAATATTGAATATCAAAGAAGCGTCCAAATCACATAATGCATCAACTTATTCTCGACGACGTCGGATCATCATTTTGACATTGGTAATCGAGTGATTGGAACCCTTATAGGTTTGCCAATTAATGCCCTTGCCGAAGGTGTTGTCGCCATATTTGCCATTTAAGTTACTATAAAAAAATTAAAACAACAAATAAAAATTCGGATAATCCTATTTCCAAAAATATCACTTCCATCTCTACTCACCTTTGATGACAATTTTTATACCACCACGCACCCGTATATCGCTGAGCACAATTACTAACATCCTTATCATGATCACGATCGCGAGCGGTAAATTCCATATTGACATGACTTTTCATCGAATCTCCGGCGGTACCGGAATACTTGCCCAATGACTTGAGGACATACAACTTCTCCTCATTACCAATGGCAAAGCTATTGTAACGGGCATATTTATAAATACCCTCTTCTTCGATGACGACCAAAAGTTCCTGGGGTCCCAAATAATTGGTGAGGGCATGCAGTTTATCCAACCCAATAAAGAATTCTCCTTGGATATTACCAAAACCATCTTTATAATATATCCAATCACGATAGAAATTCTCGGAACCATCATGACGACGTTGTATGAGTAGCCAACCACCATTTAATGTCTTTGCATCGCATTCCACCAGTAAGGGTTCAGTGCTGAATTCTTTTACGAGGATTTTATAGATCCCGTTGCGTTTTATGCAGGCAGTAGCTTCATCACAATTGATGGGGAGTTCTTTGGTTTGACTGTGGAAGGGGAAGGTGGGGGATACAATTTCAAATTTTTATCGCGTGATTATTTAGAACTTACCAATGTTCGGGTATGGTATCGAAACGTATATCAAATATGGTTGTCTCTGTTTGAAAAAAATATTTAATATGTTAATTTTTTTATTTCAAATTTTAAAGAGAAATACCTACCGTTATTGGGTCCGACATTAGCATCTTCAAATCTGTGAAAATGCCAAAGGAAAAAAATTAGTCATGATATTAAAATTTAAGACAAAATTGTGGGACCTATAAATTAAGGGTGGATTTTATAAAGAGTATTTTTTTCAAGGACCAAAAGAAGCTCGGATTTTAAAGACTATTTTTTAAGGACCAACAGAAGCATGGAGTTTTTATAGAATATTTTTTCAAGGACCAACAGAGGCGTGGATTTTTAAAGAATATTTTTTCAAGGACCAACAGAGGCGTGGATTTTTAAAGAATATTTTTTCAGGGACCAACAGAGGTGGGGATTCTTAAAGAATTTTCTTTTTTTTTTTCAATGACCAACAGAGGTGGGGATTTTTAAAGAATTTTTTTTCGACGATCAACAGAGGTGGACATTTTAAAGAATTTTTTTTCGAGGATCAACAGAGGTGGAAATTTTAAAGAATATTTTTCAAGGATCAACAGGGGCTTGGATTTTTTTTAAAAATATTTTTTTAAGGTCCAAACAAGGCTTGGATTTTTTTAAAGAATATTTTTTAAGGTCCAAACAAGGCTTGGATTTTTTTAAAGATTTTTTTTTTCAAGATCCAAACAAGGCGTGGATTTTTTAAAGAATTTTTTCAAGAACCAAACATGGAGAGCATTTTTTAATGATTATTTTTTCAAGGATTAACAGAGGCGTGGATTTTTAAAGAATTTTTTTTTTTTTTTTTTTTTTTTTGAAGAAACAAACAAGGAGAGATTAAAGATTATTTTTTCAAGGATTAACAGAGGCGTGGATTTTTTAAAGACCATATATAATTTTTTATGGACCACCAATATTTTTTAAGCACCATAAGACCTTCAGGGTGGATTTTTAAGGAATATTTTTTCAAGCACAAAAACATCTTCAGGCGTAGATTTTTTTAAACATATTTCAAAGGACCGACAAATATTCAGGCGTGTTTTTTTAAATATTTTTAAACAGGCGTGTTTTAAGGTCCAACAGATTTTCAGGTGTGGATTTTTAAAAATATTTTTCCAAGGATCAAAAGATATTCAGCCGTTTTTAAATATTTTTCAAAGGTCCAAAAGATCTTCAAGCGTGGATTTTTTAAAATATTTTTTCAATGGTCCAAAAGATCTTCAGGCGTGGATTTTTTTAAATATTTTTTCAAGGGTCCAAAAGATCTTCAGGCGTGGATTTTTTTAAATATTTTTTCAAGGGTCCAAAAGATCTTCAGGCGTGGATTTTTAGATTTTAAAAATATTTTTTCAAGGGTCCAAGAGATCTTCAGGCGTGATTTTTTTAGATTTTAAAAATTATTTTTTCAATGGTCAAAATACGTCAGGTATAGATTTTTTTAAATATTTTTGCACAGGACAAAAAGATCTTCAGGCATGGTTTTTTTAATATTTTTGCAAACATGGTTTTTTAAAAATATTTTTCCAAGGATCAAAAGGCGTTCAGACGTGGAATATATAAAATATTTGTTCAAGGACCAAGATGTCTCATTTGCCTCATTACCTTCTATACATTTTCTCTACCAATCCTTTCATTTCATCCAGTTCCGTTACAATTTTCTGACGCATCACCACATCATCTGGGACCTTAGCGACCGCATTCTGCAAAGGATTAAATCTTAAATTAATCACAAATCTCACATCAATCACAAATAACTACAGGACACGCTTTACCTCTGTGCTGCCCGTAAATAGCTTACAAGCAAACAATATTACAAACACAAAATAGATCGCTTTAAAACGTCCGAACATTATGAATGGCGCCCAATGACTGTTGCAAATCTGCAACTAAATCTAATTATGAAAACTTTATGTTTTTGACGACAAACAAATGTCGTCCACTCAATTGAAAATTAAGTCAAATTATGCATCAAATCAAAAAAATAAAGATTCTTAATTCTTATATAAGAGTGTATTTAAAAATGTAAGTCCGTTATGCAGGTACATATGTCTTATCGGCCTATTATGGTTTATGTTAATTGCGAAAAGTACTTCTTATGCAATGCAATAAGTGGCATGCCACAATTATGCTAATATCGAAATGCTAATATCGAAATGTGGGTATAAGTATAGAACATCAATGTCAAGTGTAAAATGTAACAAGAAACTCAAACAACTAAAGAGGCTCTTGAGTGATAATCCGACAATGTTTGAGGGAGTAATACTTTCGAAAGTTAACGAAAAAAATTGCAAATTTATTTTATTAGAAAAAAATTTGATCTGAAATACAAAGTTAAATCAGTAATGAGAGGATCACCGGCTATATAATACCCTGCACCACTTTGAGAATACAAGTGGAGCTCCTATGATTCTTATTGTAACATACAATGATTGTGTGTGTCCTATCGATCGTGTGTGTATGTGTCCTCACACATTACGACGCTCCTACCAAATCATTCAAAAAAAAAATGGAAAATCCTGGCAAAAAGCCTTCATACCCTTGTTCGCGGATGGAACCGATGGGTCTCAGCACCTCGGTCTCATTCAATTTACCTTCTGCAAGGTAAAAATTACAAATTCCGTCAACTAACATAATAAAAGAAAATGTTTCCAAATTGTTTCTGAAGTTCTCCTTATAGAAGCCCTCTAAAGACTTATTTTCTCTATAAAACCGCTGTAGAAGATATTTTTTATTGAGAAGATCTCCTAGAGAATTTTCAGTTTATCGAATAACTCTTAAAGAAGAGACCGCCAAACTGAGAAGACCACCAATCTTCTCTCTTTAAAACGAAACTAGAAGGCTTTCTATATGTTTAGAAAATCTTCCAAATGTAATTCGAGAATTCCATTTGTAATTCACAACATATAATTTGCAATTAGAGAATTCCATTTGCAATTCGTAACATATCAGTTGTAATTCGATAATTTAATTTGTAGTTCATAGAATATATTTCGAAATTCATAGAATTCCGAAAGTCATATACTTTGAAGTTCAAAAGATTGCATTTGAAATTCATAAAATTCCATTTGGAATTTAAAGAATTTCATTTGAAATTCATAAAAAAAAATTTGAATTATTTTTGTGATTTACCAATTACATTCTAGAATTACAAATTAAATTTTATGAATTGCATAAGAAGTATTAAGAGGTAGGTGGGAAATATTTTCGATGGCTATAGAAATTGGAAAAAAACATATTACGTGCGAAGGTAGCACTTTGCCAACCCATTTAGTGTTTCTAATGATCCTGTAGATTAAAGCAGGTTCCATAGCTGAAAAGAAGCTTAGACATGGTGGAAGGTGAGCACCCACTAGTCTGTGCCGTCTTTAGGCCAGAACTGGACTGCGACACAGGAGATGCTCAATTGTCTCCGTCTCCTCCAATAATAACTCCTGTCATTATTCTAATTTCAGCTTTGCTCAGGTTCACCAGTGAATTTGTTCTTTTAGCTGACAGAGTCTGCCAGATAGATCTTGACAAATTACACCTAGGTTCGTTGTACCAGAGTTCATTGGCTCGTTCGTCGCCGAACGCCTCAAAGTTCCGAAAATTATGACAGATGGAGTCATCGATTGCTACATCTGTAGATTGAGATTCTCGTCTAGCTAATTCGTTCGCCTTTTCATTACCATGTCATGATGTCACGGTATCCTGGTACCCAACACAGCCGATAGCTCTAAGTAAGTGTGTCCAAAACTGCTCTACACTCGAGGACGACCTCAAATTTGATATTACAGGATTTGACGGCCTTAAGTGCAATTCCGCTGCCTTTCAAATAGCGAAGATTTCAGCTTGGAAAACACTACAGTTGCTATCCAGCTTGTAGGTAAGCTCATGGCCTAGCCTTTCATAGTAGACGCCAGTCCCTGCACATTCTTCCATCTTCGATCCGTCTGTATAAAAAACCAGACCGTCTAGAGGAGGGTTACCTATACAAGTTGTCTCTTGTTTTTACCCGAGCTGTGCTAGCGTGACCATATGGTCACACTCATAATACGATCAATAAATCATTTAAAAAAACCTGTACCCTAACAGTGGTAGTGTGAACATACGGCCACATCCCAAAAATTGATCCTGTCGATTATCCTGATAAGAAACAAGTGAAAAAGCGTTAAGTTCGGCCGGGCCGAACTTTGGGTACCCTCCACCATAGATATACTGACAGGTACTAGAAATGAAAATATAGGGAACATACCAAAAAGTGGACCTATACCGACATTTCTAAAAACGGATTATGTAAACCATAATGCAAATTTCAGAATTTTTTAATGGATATACCCTTAGCCTTATGGCTAATGAGGGGGTATACACTTTAACACGGTGAAAATATGCCTCACCGAAATATTGGTTCTAGACCCCATGTTTCTTTGGACCAAATCCGTTTCAGAAAATTTAGATTTCATCCAAACGTATTATTTCTTCCAAACTTAGTACAAATTCGAAGATGGGGAATATCGATCCACTTCGGAACAAATCAGATAATTATTTTAATATAAAAAAGGGGGTTATATGGGGACTACCCCAAAAAGGGGGCGGATATTAATAATTTTTGGTAGGGAGATTTGTTACCATATACGACTACAAAATACCAAATTGCAGCGAATTCTGTTGAAGAACGCGCTCAAGAACCCCAAAATATCGAAAATTGGGGGTTCCCCTATATGTGAACTATCCGAAAAAATTGACCTATATTTATAATTTTTTGTGGAGAGATTTGGTACATATTAGGAACTCAAAATACTAAATTACAGCTAATTCTGTTTAAAAATACGGTCAAAACCCCCAAAACACTGAAAATTAGGAGGTACCGTTATAGCCCCCCAGAAAAAGTGGACCTATACTTATAATTTTTTGTGGAGACATTTAGTACCCAAGAAGAACCCAATGTACCAAATGACTTTTGTATTCTATTGAGTATTAATTTACTCCTGAAGGACATAGACCCGATAAGTTGGATATCATAAAGGAAAATTCGTTATCGTAGTAAAAAGTAGTAGATTCTTGCAGTACGGGAACAGACCAATTGTCGTATGTACTCGGATGTGGGAGTTACACTGAA